TGTAGGGAAGGAAATGTAGACTAGTGATGGGTGGTATTCTTTTGAGTATTTTCTGATATGATTAAGAATTGTGACAGTGTTAATCATATGAACAGAAACTCAGTGGGTCATTGAAGTGAGGGAGTGCTTGTGTGCTTGCTGTTTTTCTGATGTTGCTGACACATTAGGAGCTGCTTTTGAAAGACTACGCTGTGTGTGATAGAGGCTGCAGTGTGCAGGGCTGAGACCCCTTTTATTCTCCTCCTTCCCTAATATGGGATGGCTACTGTAAACACTTTTTTTTTCCAGGAATGTTTTGATCTCCTGAAGTGGTTGAATGGGGTTGACACCATAACAAAACAGAGCTTATTTGTGTGTGTAAACAGAAAGGGGCTAGAGCATGCTGTGATAAAGGTAGTTGTGTCTCACAGGTCTCATTTCCTTATTCCTGTAGTCAGTCTGATAACACAGAACTGTTGGATTTTTTTCAGAATAATGTTTGAGATTCCTTTTTGAAGACTTTATAAAAACTGAACAGTCACAGGTTTGCTGGACTTAGGTGTTAACTGCTTAGAAGTAACCAAAAGAAGGGATAAACTATTTACTTTAATAAAGGAAGGTTACCAGTGGAATTACTCAAGACTCTGCTGCTTGATATATTCATAAATACCTGGAGGGAAGAAATGAATGAGAAAAGGATAGAAAGGATAATAGAAAGCTAGAGTTGACTGCGGACAGTCGCAGTGGGAGTGCATTGTTCATTAGGTTATAAAATTGCTGATAAGATTTAATTCTAGTAAATACGGAATCATGAATCTGAAGAAAAATAATTCAGGCTGAATATACCCAGTGGGTGGGCTTTATGTTGGTGGTTATTGTTCAGAAAACACCTCGAAGCTCCTTCATAATGGTTTCTTTTAAAAAGCTCAGATATCCTCAAATAGCACTTAGCAGCAATCTTTGCAAAGACATGGACAATAAAATGAAAACAGGTGTGTTATGGATGAGTGGTGTAATTTTGTATTGACTCTGTGTTTGTGGCCACCTGTCAGAAAACATGGTGCAACTGAAAACAGGCTGAAGAAGGTTAGCAGTGATCAAACTTTGGACTTGCTCCTGTGTAAGAAAAGAGAAAAAACAGATGAGGATTGCTAGCTTGAAAAAGATCTGGTGGATAGAGACAAGTAGATATGAATTGAGAGCCTGAGAAGTGTTATGTTTGGAGATGAACTGCTAATAATAACTCTTTTTTTTCTCCCAAGAAAGAGCATCAAATAAAATAATTAACAGGCAGCACTTTAGAATAAAACACTTCTTCATTCTGATGCATGCTTAAATTCTCATAGAATGCCATGAATGACAAAAGCATAAATTGGCTAAAAAGACCTGGAAAAATCAGTGGAAGAAAAGTCCTTTGAGCTAAGACACAAAAATACTGGAGGCTTGGAAGGATTGCTGCGAGGGAATTGGATAACTGTTTGTCCTTTTTTGCTTTCACCCAGTATCTGCCTACCGCTGATTTTTTTTTATAAGCAGGACAATGTGAAGTCTTTAGTTTGGCCCCACTGCTGTTAGGTATATTCAAGTATTTTCTTCATATGTCTTGTCATCTTGGAGAGGGAGGGGAAAAAAAAAAAAGCATGCTTTCTAGAAGCAAAGTAGGAGCATGTTAATTTGTACCTTCTGTCTTGCTTTGAGTTTGGAAATCAAGTAAATTTATCAACAAATTGAGAAGTTTAGTTGATAAATTGGCTGTGTAGTTAAATGTTCAATTGTGGATCCAGGCCCAGTTTAAGATAAGGGAAAGTTGAAACAGTAACTGTGAACATGTATGGTTCTTAGAAGTATCTTAGTGCTTTGCTGCTAAAATTTCTTTGGGTATGGAACGGCATCCTGACACTGAAAAGTTTGGCATATGGTCTGTTGGAGGCTATCTGTTAGAGGGGAAATTTTCTAGTAAAATGAGTTGCAAAAGCCTTGGGAGAATGCTTAAAAGTTTTACTAGAAAAATATAAAATTTTCCTTTTGAAAGCCTAAGTATGTTAACTAAGGCTTGAACATGATTTTTTTTTTTTAGGACAGTATTTGGATTTCACTACAATGTTGATACATTTCTTGAATTAGAGAGAAATCTTAGAAACATGTCAACATCAAAAAAATGTTTTTTGTAAAATATCACAGCAGTAGTTATTACTGTCCTGTTTAAGAAATTGATTTTTTTTTTGTTTGGCTTGGCTTGATGCTTTTCCATTGAAAGCAAACATGACATTCACCTTAAAATTCAAATTGATCTTTCAAATTTGGCAGCAAGTGTTCTATAGTATTGGGAGACGGGAAACAAAAGGTCTTAATAGGTGTAAAAGATCCAGTTTCTTCATGTACCACTAGTATTAATGTACTTTACACTTGAGAGTATATTTAACACATTCTCACTCTGAGTAGTTCAGGTGGAAGGTCACTTCCTATATGAATGAATGGCTAATAAAGGGCTTTGAGTGGTCAAAGGAATCCCCGTTTGCCAAAGTGGACGTTTTCACATCAAGGAATACTCAAATGTCCCTCTTATCCTCTACAAAAACTCATTAATGCTAGTGGCCTGTTTCCAAGTCTGTGTAAACTTCCATATACACAGAAGAAAGAGACCCTGGAAGAATAAATCTGCTTGAAGATTTTAATTGTTCTTTTGCTGTTTCATGTTTGGATCATTGCATAGTTTTTAAGACTATGCTTTGTTTTTAAGGAAAATAATCTTTGGGAATCAGGAATTGAATTTGATCCTCACTGTTGAGCCGGTAAGAAGGTTAGTGAATATCTACTAGTGTCTGCATCCTGTGTCTTTTGACATCTTTAGCGTTCTGGTAATGTGTTGAGGGTTGGTGTGTAGGTATTGTTGAAATTACTGTGAGGTGCTGCCTTGAAAATCAGGTATGAATATATGTGCCCCAAGCCCTCCAGTTTCCTATCTGAAAGCCTTATTCACCTTTCTTGAAAGTACTGTTGGTTTTGGTTAAATGGCCATATTAAATAAAACCTATCATCTGTTTTTGTTGAAATTTATTGTAATAGTTAAATAGTCATTATAACTGATGCTACTTTCTCCTTTAGACTACATGAAGAAATAATTGACTTCTATGACTTCATGTCCCCTCGTCCTGAAGAAGCAGCTATGAGAAGAGAAGTGGTGAAACGAATAGAAACGGTCATCAAAGATCTTTGGCCTACAGCTGATGTGAGCGTAACTCAAGTGTTGATTTGCTTCTCTAGTAAATTGTAGACCTCGGTTCACTTAACCTTGCTATTATCTTTCTGTGTTTTAGAAATGAACAGACAAGATTTCAGTCTTAAGGCAATTGACTTAATATTCCAGCTCTAGCAGTACTTGGCAGTTTATTTTAGAAGGCAGAGGAAATTTAAAACCTAGATTTCAGGTTAATGAAGGCTACTGATAATTTTTTTCATTTTGAGAACTGGGGAAGTGAAGAACTGTCCACTTCAGGAAGTGCATTTCTTAAAGTAAAAGCTTATGAAATTACTTGTCTCTGCATAACTTAATTTTGAATATTAAAGTTAGACTGAGTACCTACGTATCCATTTCTGCAAGGACTCCTGACTCTGTGGATAGTTGTAAATACAAATATTTTACAAAAAAGCAGTTAAAAACCCCAGAATTTTTTGAGCTCTTCACAAATTTGACATTCAGGGAATTGCTTTAGCCCTACTTTAGTGGGAAAATTTGACTTGACTCCTGAGATAACTTGCAACCAAAGTTGTATTTTTAAACTCTTTATTACCCAAAGAGTAAGTTTCCTCCAAACAAAAAATATCCAGAAGGATTTAAATGTAAACTGTATCTCTGCATCACCTTTCTGATTACCAGATAGCAGCATTGTCATTAACAAGCAGAAAAACATTTTAGAACAGTGATTTCGTAGCCTTCCATGACAGAGTGAGGTCTTTGGCGACAGTACTGATCTAAAGATATTGTTAAGGTCATCTAAGTCATCCTCACCTGCAATTTTCCTTAGTAATAACATTTTTCTAGCTTGTGGGAACAGGTATAAACATTGAAATGGCCCAGTGTTGTCCAGCCTTTTCACAGGTCACTGCAAAGATGTGAACTTGTCAATTTTGCTCTGCTGTAACAGAGGGGAAACAATGTCTCAGTTTTTGAGATTGGAAACATACTAAAAGTATTTGCAGACTGTGAATGTGTCTTAGGCATACCAAGCTGTTTGGTGAGGTTGACACGCTGGAGGGGAGGGATGCCATCCAGGAGGTACCTGGACAGGCTGGAGAGGTGGGCCCAAGCCAACCTCGTGCAGTTCAACAAGGCCAAGTGCAAGGTCCTGCATCTGGGTTGGGGCAATCCCAAGTACAAATACAGGCTCAGCAGGGAATGGCTGGAGAGCAGCCCTGAGGAGAAGGACCTGGGGGTGCTGACTGAGAAGCTCAGCATGAGCCAGCAATGTGCGATTGCAGCCCAGAAGGCCAACCGGATCCTGGGCTGCATCAGAAGAAATGTGGTCAGCAGGTCAAAGGAGGTGATTCTGCCCCTCTACTCCACTCTCATGAGACCCCACCTGCAGTACTGCATCCAGCTCTGGAGTCCCCAACATAAGAAGGACATGGACCTGCTGGAGCGCGTGCAGAGGAGAGCCATGAGGATGATCCGAGGGCTGGAGCATCTCTCCTATGAGGAGAGGCTGAGAGAGTTGGGGCTGTTCAACTGGAAGAGGGCAGGTTTAGATTAAACATTAGGAAGAAGTTTTTCACTTTGAGGGTGGTAAGGCACTGGAACAGGTTGCCCAGAGAGGTTGTTGAGGCCCCATCCCTGGAGGTGTTCAAGGCCAGGCTGGATGTGGCCTTGGGCAACCTGGTCTAGGGGGAGGTGTCCTTGCTTATGGCAGGGGGGGTGGAACTTGATGATCTTTTAAGGTCCATTCCAACTTAAACCATTCTATGATACCTTCTCTTCTACACATAAACACCTACCACAATTTCTTAGTTATCCTTACTGTAAAAGCTGGAATGTTCCTGTTTCTCTGAATTATATGTTTAGATGCGCTTGCTGATTTTTAAACAAAAAAAAAATTGGAAAAATACTTCCCTTAAACTCTTCCAATTTCAGTAAAGCTGTCCTATGAGGAAGGAAGGAAATTTATAACAGCTTATACTTCTGTCAAACTGGAAATCAGTAGTGAAAGGGATTTGTTTCTGAAGCTTAGGCTCTGCTGCTAGCAGGATTGGTAGTCATTTCGTGTTTAAAAAAAATACTATTTCCTCTAAAGTTGCATCTATAAGAGAAGGTGTATTGGTGCAGGCTTAACAGAGTAAGTGGTAAAGTTAGTTCAATAACATTTTTACTGAGCAATATCCTGAACAGGTCCAGAAAAATCTTAAGTCTTGTGAAAGTGAAATGAATGTTCATAATTACAAGGTACTTCACTGGTGTGGGGTTTTTTTTTCAGGTCCAGATATTTGGCAGCTTTAGTACAGGGCTTTATCTTCCAACTAGGTAAGTAAGTTTACTTTTTGTATAAAAGCTTGTCTTTTAGAAGAATGGTTAATTTTAAAGGGGAATTTAGACTGGAATGTGTAAACCTATCAAACTTCCAGTAAAATTTTTGCCAAATGTCCCATGTAACAAAGGGGAGAGCTTTTGAACTTACAGATTTGAGATAAGTATTTGATATATCATTGTACTGCTGTAGGTACTTACTGATTCTTTGGTGAATCACCTTTTGTTCCATGTGTCTGGGGTTAGGCTTTGGCCCTTTGTTTTCAAGATATGATGAAATCGAATGTTTAGTATTTCTTGTGTAAATATTGTGTTTTGTTAATTAAGGTGAATTACTGAGTGTGTCACTTAACACAGAGTTACTGTGCAAAGTCAGAAGAGTTGTCACAGCTGTGTTTTCCCATTTTTTTGGAGAGCAAAACGTCTTACTTAATGTTTTGTATTGCTTAATGGTTCAATAGATGGATGTGGAAAGCCTGTGTAGCTATGTTGTCTTTACATCAACTAATTTTTCAGTAGGAAAGCACTGGAAATTCATTTCAATGAATAACAGTTGCTGATAAAAATTGTTTGGACTATTAACATGCCTGTCAACATGGGTTGATGAGGGATGGGATTGGGCTGTGGAAATCAGGGGAGGGAGCAATAAAGGTAAAAGGGGAGGAGCTCAAAGAACTTGTCAGAGAACTGGAAGGAATCCTACTTTAGAATCCTACTTTAGGTCCTAAAGGGCACCAGACTATCTCTTACTTAATGTTGCTAAAGTAAGCTTTTGGGGAACCTAGATTAAAAGTTGCAAAATAGTCACCCTGGAGGACTTCTAATATGTAGAATGCCAATTTCACTGTGTTTTTGGTGGAGTATTATGCTTTGGTCTTAATGGATCTAAAGCTGTGTTCTTTTTGTCTAGTGATATTGATCTAGTTGTTTTTGGGAAATGGGAGCGACCCCCTTTACAGCTGCTGGAGCAAGCACTAAGAAAACACAACGTGGCTGAGCCGTATTCCATTAAAGTACTTGATAAAGCTACGGTAAGTAATAGTCTTTGGAATACTGAACTGAAAAGCTTTTAGACCCCTTAAGATATTGGTGATAAAAACTGTTCTTAATTCATGAAGCAAATGATGTCTTAAGCACAGTGTTTTGCTCTGTGCAATATTTTAGTAGAATGTGTGTGTGCTTAGCAATAGTACTCAGTGTTTTACATGGACAATGGTGATTCTGTGTATGGTATTTGCTGGTAGGTGATACTTTATGCTTGCATTGTCAATAAAGATCTAAAAGTCAGTATTTGCAAAATATCTAGTAAAATAAGTTAACTATTTGTATAATGTTTTTCCACTGACCTTCGAGAGGACTTTGTTTAGCCAGAGGCCAGTAACTAGAACTGTCTAGCTTGAAACCCTGATTTTTCAGGTTGTCTTGTTTCTGATGACATAGTGAAGTGTTCCAAACCTGACATTTGTTTTTCGCCTCCAAAATATGCTACTTAAGAGCTTTATTTCATTTGTGAAACTGATATGTAGTATCTCTTGCATCTGTCTTGTAAGCCTAATGGATCACATTGAATATACTAAGAGAATTTTATGTTACTGAGCAAGTGGTGTTTTCTCCAGGAGCAGAGTATTCCAAGCTTCTATCAGCAAGCTATTGCGTCTTCTGCTCTCTGAGATAGGGTGACACTTTTAGGTCCAGAAGATTCCGGTGCTTCTGTTGGAGTAGCAGTTTGTAACAGTAACTCTGGTAATCTTTGGTTTACCTGAGAATGAGTGGGATTTTCACAATCGGTGATACCAGTTAGTGATGGAAAATGGCACTAGGCTAGGCTTCTCAATTTTACTAGCTGTTCTTATTTTATACCTTCTGCTTTTGGTATGAATGATGCTATACTTCTGCTCTTTTTTGTTTTCTATTTCAGATTAAACATACAAGAAGTTCAATTTAAAATAAATGTTATTAGCTGAAGTTTAAGTTATGATTGTAAGACCATTTTGTAGGATATTGCCTTCAAGGTGGTGGTGTGAGACTGAACTACATATTCAGTAGTCCTGTAATAATTTATTGCTGCCAGAAGAGGCAAGGCTGCTCCTCCTGCTTTGCTTTGATCCATTCTGGCTTTCATTTGACTCTACAGTGAACCAGTTCAGCTTGATAAACCAACAGACAGTGCTTTATTTTTTCTGCTAGGCTAGTCTTCTCTCAATTTAGCAAGTGAATGGTGCAGTGCTGGGTCAGAGGAATGCAGTTCCCACAGGTTATGAGTAGAATGTCTCCTATTAACAGCAGTGAGTCATTAAATTAAGTAAATTTAGTTGTCTTACAAAACAGTGATATTGCAGCTACGAAGGCAGATGTCTAATAGCTATGGGACAGTACATGAGTGACCATATGTTAATGTGATCAGACATTGCCCATGTTTTTAATCATCTCACTAAAAACTGTTTGCTTGTCAGTCAAGTTGGGGTTACCTTTGCTCAAAAACACGTTTTCCTGTCTTGATAGTTGCATTAATTTGGACTGATAGTATCCATGTGTGAGTATCCCATGTGTGAATAAGAATAACACCAGTGTTGCATTTCTGGGGCTTCATAAAACCTTGTTTTAATCTTTTCAGGTACCAATAATAAAACTTACTGACCAGGAGACAGAAGTGAAAGTTGACATCAGTTTTAATGTAGAAACTGGTGTGAAGGCAGCTCGATTTATCAAGGAATACATGAAGGTATCAACTACATAATGAATATTATAACACTTACCAAGGATGTGTTAGATGTTTAGCGAACTTTTTTTTAGTATGGCTTAAGATTTCTGAAGATCTATTGCTGAAGACTATTTTCGTTAATTAAGCATGGATATTTTAATTTATTTTCTATTGGTGTCTATTCAGTGTTGCCTTTGAGTGCTAGGTGTTTGTGAGGATAAACCTGTACACTGAAAGGACTTCTACAATCATATCTAGATCTGCAGATAGGTACTAAACTTTGCTTCTGAAGCACATCAGTTCAAGTTTTGCTTACCTTGAACTTAAGTGATGCTTGATTATGAATACTTTCTTGCTAAACAACTCTTCTGTAACTACATACTTAAAATGAAGTTTACTTTTATGCTCTGCAGTAAAAGTACTGTTTAGATGGAAAGCTTTGATTGTGAGTGACACTGGCATTCAAAGAAGGATATAAAAATCTTCCTGTTTAGGGGGAGGAAATAAATTTGATATGTAAGCTGTTTGATCAAATAAGAGTTGAAGTCTGTTCCTCTGTTTCTAGAATTAACAAAGCATGTTTCCATTCTTCCTGTGGAAGCACTTTATAGCACACTACTGAATAACTTTTTTGTATTAGAAGATGAATCTTCTTGTGTTGAGACTGTGTAGTTCGTTCTTTGTTTTGGAATGTTGACACTGTCATTTATAAGACTTATTTTGCTTTGCAGAAATATTCCTTGCTGCCTTACTTGATTTTAGTATTAAAACAGTTCCTTCTTCAGAGGGACTTGAATGAAGTTTTTACTGGTGGAATTAGCTCTTACAGCCTAATTTTAATGGCAATTAGTTTCCTGCAGGTAAGTCTGTTCCTTTTTTGTTTGCGTTCTTTAAAGTATTTTGGTTTATGTACTTATGCCCTGTTGTGGTGCTGTTTCTTTAGACTTGCCTAGCAATGCACAGCTTTATGGTTATGGCCCTATGTGTTTGATCATTGGCAGCTTCTATGGACTGCCTCTCAAACCTCTAAGAACTTGTTTGCTGTGTGAACTGAAACAGCAGCAGGAGCCTTGTGAACAGCATGGAGGCTGTGCATTGCTTTTTGTACTGGGGCCTGTGATGTGAGTTATGCTGCCTTCCTGGGCAGCCTATTCTGGTACCTGAATCATCTTTCTTGTGTTTTGTAAAACTGCATACTAGCAGATTAAGTCTGTTGCTTCCTAGGCTACTGATACTGAATGTGCAGAGTAGTTGATTTCAGTGTTTATTAAAGTTACAAAATCAAACAGTCAGGTTGTTTTTTAATTATATGTTGGTTAGGTTTTGGCATACCTAAACCTGGCAGATATTGTAGGTAATTAATGAAATAGCTAATGAGTTATAACTTCTTCCAATGCATTTTCATGACAGTAAGCTTTGTACAAGTGTGATGAGATATGTTAGATGTCTCTCAGCAGCTGTGATAATGGAAAAACCTACATATCCTGCTGCTGTTAATGACTCATTGAAATACTGCTGTAGATTATGCATACTGTATGTGATATGGGGGGATTGAGAAAAGAACTGTATCTCAATTGGGGTGAACAGATTCTCTCCCATTTCTGAAAACATTAAGACTGATGGATTTTCTTTGAAAAACCATGTATTACTCCAGTTGCTCATCTGTAATGTAGTATGCAGTACTTCTTTATTGCTTTTGGCTTAGGGAAAAGAATTGACTAATCTGCAAATAGCTGGAAAAGGAGGGAAGAAGGAATTCTTTGGCTTCCAGATACTGCTGAAGTGCTGCCCCCTGTTGGTTGTGTGAAAGTGGTTTAAGTACATGAAGAATTAAGGACTCAATTCAGACTTGTGTAAAGGCACTGTGCTCAGCTGTTTAAATGAGAGCTTTTTGTTATGCTTTGTTATGGTCTGAAAAGCATTAATTTTTAATAATTAAAAACCATTCTGTGTCACAGCTGCATCCAAGAATTGATGCCAGAAGAGCTGATGAAAACCTTGGAATGCTTCTGATAGAATTTTTTGAACTCTATGGAAGGAATTTTAACTACTTGAAAACTGGTATTAGAATAAAAAATGGAGGTGCCTATATTGCCAAAGAAGAAATCATGAAAGTCATGACTAATGGGTACAGACCATCCATGCTATGTATTGAAGATCCTCTCCTGCCTGGTAAGATTGTACACTTCTTGCAATATTCCAGAGCTCTGGCTCTACTTGTGCTCCCACAGCTTACATTAGAGTCCCTAAAGTCGGTCAAATGAGTTAAGAAGCTGCGCAGAGAAGAGACTTTGCTGGTGTTGAGGTAGTTATGGAGATGGGATAAGGGATAAGGACCTGAAGTGTCCCAAGGTTCGTAGCCTGAGTAAACTGGATTGCATGCAAAGAATGCAGGTATGTAAAGCATTGGAGATTCAGAACTGTGTTGAGTGTATAATAAGATTTCCTGCCAGTGCTGAGGGGCAACAAAAGAAAGCGGTCCAGGAAATCCTGGAATGGGGTTTGTCAATATGAATAGCTCTCTGTTGTTCGTTATGACAGGGTGAAAATAGAAGGTGTAGCTTTTTCTCGCCACAGTCTGTGGTGCCATATTTCAGATAAATTATACCATATGGGGAGGAAACCCCCCAGATGAGGTACCTGTTCTCCAGGGTGGTGCTCTAGAGACTGCACAGAAACATGGGTGTATATCCATGAATGTGTAGCAAGGGAGCAGCTGTATTATGATGTTGGTGTGAAGAGCCTGCTTTGCATAACTGGCTTCTGTGCTGCACAGGGACCTTTAGAGAATGCCAGTTCTAGTTGCACGTACTTTTGAAAGTAACCATCTTAATCTTTTTTTCTTCTTTAAGATTTGGTTTTGATTCAGTAACCTTCAAAGTAATCAAGATTAATTTTGGCTGAGCTCCTGAAAAAAATTTCCAGCTTTTTAGTACTCAGTTTGGATTCTATTTAGACTGTCACAAGTAGCTGAAATTCCAAACCAGCTTTTTAAATAAGTCAATTTTAAGTTAATTTGGACTTAAGCATTAGTATTTCTAGAATGTAATTGGCACTCAAACTCCATACTGTCACGTCTTGTGGGTAGACTGCTTATGTAGAGCACTTTTAAAGCAAATACCATGGATCAGGAGCTGAAGTCTGGCATCTTTCTAAATGCTCAGTATGCTGGATGTTCATAGTTCTCTAGAAGAGGTTGCAAACTAAGATACTCATTTGTCTGACCACATCTCTGATATGTTTGTAGCTTTTGAGTTTGTGTCCATCATGACTCTTGTACTTCGCCAGGCATAGGTGTGATTTTGCAGTACTTTCATTGTGGTGTTGAGATTTCCTTCAGTAGCTGTGTGCTTACTTGCTTGAAGACCCGTTTGAGTAGCAGCATGAGCCACATTTCTTTAGAGTCAAAAACCTTTACTCTCCTCCGGTTCTCTCCCTTCCTATCTGTTGAGGACTGAAAGAGAAGAAATTATGTATGCTGCACAATGTTTTAATCACTGCTAATAGTTAAACTTGTCTTCGATGATTCTTCAGAGGAGATAAAAAGAATAAATTGCAAGTCCAGTAGGGTCTCTGAATGGCTCCTTCTAGCATAAATCTTGCAGAAGTGAAAAACTATAATTTAGAAGAAAGTTGTCTAGTTATATGCTATCAGTGAGTTGGTAAGAGCTAAATTTTAGATGAAGTTCTATGGGCTAAGATAATGTAATTCTTACAGGAGATAGTGTTTTGGCAAAGGAAATGAAAGCTGACAATAACTTGAAGTTAACTGACCCCTATTTCCCATAGGGATATTTTCTGGCGGCTACTACAGAGCTTCAGAACTTGCCTGATGGAAGTAGGAGAAAAATTATATAGAACATATAGGATAGCTCTTTGAATCGGATCTCAGAAATACAGCCTCCTTAGATCTAAACTTAATCATATATTCCTACAGTATCTAAAAGTACCTGTCAAGTGTATGTAGATAATGTCTAGAATTCTGTTAATTACTTTAGTTCTGTTACTACTTGTGTCCCAGTACAAAAAAAACTTTGCCAAGGGTTCAGGTCCTTGCCCAGTTGACAAGTCATCTCTACTTGATTAGTTTGTGGTCAGATCTACTCAGTGTCTAACTCCATGAGGGTCAGTGCCAGTACTGTGGAGGAGATGGGAACAAGTATTTTGGTAAAGAGTGGACACAGATGTTTTTTGACTTTGGTTAGCATAAGCTGCTGTAGTGTTTTTCCCTCAAACCAGTTTATGCACTTTGTGCACAAGTATTTAATCTTTTTTTTGCAACCTTTTTTTAGCCTCATCACAGCTTTCTGTAAAGTTCTGGTTAAACCTTGGAAGAAGGCTTCAAAAGGGTGACTTCTTAATCCAGAAATCAGACAAAAAAAATACAGGGATGAAAAAGTGTTTGAATTTCTCAAGTAGTGTAAAGGTCCCTCATATGTATGAGTGTATGCACTAGTTCAGCCATAGGATGCTGAAAGGTGTAACGCATAAGAATAGCTTTAGACAGTCTTGTAGGGAGCAGGATTAAGTTCATTGGGATTAGTTCCTTTAAGTTGGAGGAACTGTTTTTTCTACAGTGTGAAATGGTGATGTCTGCTAACAGATGATGTCATCAGAAGGAAGTGTTAAGTCAGTTGTACCTTCTATTAATTCCTAGATTTGGAAGGAATGGGCTTTAACCTGTTGTATTGGTCATGGTGGGTTTTGCTGAGATTCTGCTGTGTGCTGTAGGGTTTCCTCTGAGATTCTCAAAGACGTATTATTGAGTGTTAGAGGGTTATAATTTCTGTGATTTCAAAACCAAGATTCCAACAAAGATGTCAGGAATCTACACTTAAAGTGGGAAGCATGTTGAAATCCAGATTTGAGATGCCAGACTAATCTAGCTGGTGATGCATTTTAAAGTAGTAGTTTATACTTGCTCTTCATATGTAGCCTAAGGTTCTTCATCTTGATTTAGTGTCCTAGGACAGGGTAATGAGACGAAAATCTTTCCCTTAGCATCATCCAAAGAAGGGAGTTTCTATAAACATCTTGTAGCTGCCACCATTTCAATTTCTCAAAGCAGTTGTCCTTTCTTTGATGCATAAAAAGTGAAAACATTCCTTTAGGAGAACTGCAAAGCCAGCCACTGAGAAGTCTGTTCACAGGGACGTGTTAGAGCAGGGTAGATGAAGAGGTTTGTGCAGAGCTGGTCTAGCAGTATCCTGTCTTGGAAGACGTGACTCTGGTTGCAGGTGACAAATTTAATCTGTGGTTTAAAAAAAAAAATATCTTGGCATTATTCAGCAGGTTGTTAGGGAAGTTTATTATTCTATGCTGTTGTGAATCAGGTGATTATCAAGGTCCTTCAGTAATTCTGATGCTCAGAACAGGAATGTTTTTGATCTTGGTTCAGATTGGCAGTGGGCAAGAGTAGCTAAATTGCAGTTCAAAACTTGGAGTTCCACCTGTACTGCTTTCTTCATGAAAAAGGTTGTTCTTCATTCTGAATTGCTATGGGCTCTAACAAAAGTTCTAAACCCTAAATTCAGTGTATTTTCTTTGAAAAGATCCTCTTTAACTTGCAGGACTAATTATGCTTCATGTTACTTGCTTCTGTATCTTGATAGGTCACAAATACAGAAAGTAATTAGATTTGAGATTGGCAACAACTAATGAGATTGTCTATTCTAGCCTTAGTGGCTGCTCAGAGTTATTCATTGCAGTTTTTCAATATCAGCTGTTTGTCATTAGAATGTGCAAATATATGTGTGTGTATATAAAATATATGCATTCATAAAAATACCAAATACATTGAAGTTAGCATCTGAAAGAACTCCTTTAATGCTGAATGTTGCAAAAAGGTACTTATTAGGTAATAGCTTAACATAAATGGATCTGCTTCAGTCCTAGCTCATGGTCTTACCTTTACCTTTCTAGGCCATGTTCTTAAAACTGCTTCAGGTAATGGAAGGCCACCTGACAGGAGTGGTAATACTGATAACGAGTGATGGAAATGCTAGATGTGCTCCTTCAAGGATGAAGGCTTTGTAAGAAAGAATGAGGATTGAATTATACATGAAATCACACACCATTGTTATCTGCTAATGTACCTCTGGGGATTGAAGTCAGTATGATTTTTTTTTTTTAAGAGTGAGAGCATTTGACTTACGTGCTTTAACTGATCAGTCTGTAGATTGTGACAAAAGAAGGATGCTCAGATATGCAAGACGTGATCTGCTAGTGAGAACGATCTCTTGGAAGAAAATGTATACAGAGCAACAAGTGCAAATATGTGATCTTCTGGCTTCTTTAATATGCTGCTTACTGGATTGGGTAGGGCCACCTCTATACAGACTTGACTGGTACAGTTCATAGTAGCTTGCATAGTAGCTTTGGCTTCCATACCTGCTTTTCAGCTGCAGTGCAAGTCAGAAGCTCTGCAGACTGTATAATTGAATAAGACTGTTTATTCAGACGTTTTTATGAACTAATTACAGGTGCAGAATGAGGCAATCCAGGAACCTAGGCATGCTATGGCATGAGCTATCCTGCCTCTGTTCTCAAATCTGCTTCAATCAAGACTCATACACAACTTCGTTGGTGGTTTAAACTAAACTGCCTGAGTTTGCCGTAAGTGGATTAGGGAAGGCTTATGGTTTCTTTTGCTGGCACGACAGTGGAGGTGGCAACAACTGACAAAAAGTCTAACCAATGGTTTAGCAGCAGTGTCTTTGTTTTGGTGTAGCTCCATGCAGGATGCATGTCAAATGTAGCTGGTTTAGCACCAGATTAGACTAAACTGATGCAATTAGATTGTGTATTCTTAATTCCTGTTATGTGAATTTATAGAATCACAGAATCATTTAGGTTGGAAAAGACCCTTAAGATCATCAAGTCCCACTGCAGATGAACTCTAATTTAGTGGTAGGTGCAATTGTGTGTGTTTAGCCACTTGTATATACTCCATTTCTGTATTGCTTCTCAATTTAATTCTCTTTTGTATATATGTTTAGCATGTCATTATGTGGAAGGTGGCATTGTTGTAGGATACAACAATGTGTTCTGTCCCTGGAAAAAACTGTACTAAATTAATCTTTGTTCTTCTAGTAGAATTAACATTTTTGTGTTCTGATTTCTTGACCACTGAAGTACCTTGGTCTCTATTCAGCTGCCTTTGGACTAAGTCTTTTGTGAAGTCCTCTGCTACTTTGTAGTGCAGCTCTGAACTTGACTACAATGTGTTTCTTCCCAGATTCTCTGTCCTAGGCCCATATTGATCTCTGCTTCTACTTAAGGACAGAGTCCAATTTCAATTGAAAATATGTCATTTAGAGAGGCTTCTGTGATTTGAGTGTAGTAGCTGCTGGATACTGCAGCAGTGCATTCAGAATGAGTTACTTGGTTGCTTCAGTAAACAGGAAGTATTTCTTGATCAGCTTTTTTTTGACTGTATAAATTAACGAAGAAATTCAGTGTTCCCAAAATGCTCTTATGTTCCCAGTCTGTTTTCATTGATTATGATTTCCTGTTAAATGAGCATTATGACTGGAGAATCTTGAAGGACTAAAATGTGTTGTCAAGTAGTAAAGCTGAGGCTGTTTTTTTTTTTTTTCACTTGGGTGGCAAACCTTAGGATGTTTGTCTGTAATGGCTTGCTAGACAAAATACTTCCGTGAGTGAAGGGTTCCTCTAAAGTAAAATTCAGCCTTATTGGATTCAGTCCTCCAGAGGATAGATGCTGTCCTATACCTATCAATTTTCAAAGCAGATTTTTCATTAAAATCTCTTCATGGGCTCTGATCTGATTTTCAAGCTTAAAATAAATGTGTTTGGTGGTTCATCCCTTTCCAGTGTTCTCACAGCATTTCAAGCATCATTCTGAAGGAGGGAACTTTTTACTGTAAGCAGCTTTCTACCCACTCAAGATCTAGTCTGTATTTTAGACATGCAATTTGAAGGAAGTTTTCTTTGTGTTTCTTAAACTGTGACAGTGGACCTTTGGTGTCTGGTGCCAAATATATCTGCAAAGAACCTCCAAATGTTTATTCTTGCTAGTACGAGCAAGATCTTTCTAGGTGTCAAATGGGAGACCAATGCTTGTACGTTGTCACTGATATACTGAAGCTTTAGCATGTTCTTAACTCCAGCAGTTCCTCACACATGACTCTGGATTTGGATGGAGTTCTGTAAGTGTCACTCATGCTTAAAGAGGGGCAGTCAAGAAGTGCCACTAACTTGATCAAAAAACAATGCTGTACAAGCTTCTGGAATCCTCTATGATAGATTTTGACAAACTGGTTTATCCTGTGGAGACAAATAATCTGTATGAGCTGGTTTATTAATCTGTAGGTTTGATAAGATTAAGCAGGGGTTGGTGTAAGTATACCTGGCCCTATGAAGATAATGTGGTTGCACAAGTGGAATTTTAAGCTGAATTTGGCCTGCAGAAACTCTACTGGTAAGTGAGACATGATGCTTTAAACTTGGTAGGTTCCCTCTTAAAAGGCAGATATAAGAGCTTTAAGCTGATCTCTGTTCTGTTTCTTTCAGGCGCTGGTACATAGGTATTTTAAGTGGTAAATGGAATGCATAATATTAAGTGTTGTTCCTAAGGTTAGCTTCATTTATTGAGATAGGCATACTTGGTTGTTCCTGATATGAGAAGGATGGGCTAACCAGTTCAAACAGAGTTAAGCTGTATTTAAGCCTTCTGAGCTTTAAGTATGAATGATTTTCTGGTTACTGATTTTAAAAAAAGATGATCTGATGACTGTCACATTATTTCAGGAAACGACGTTGGCAGAAGTTCTTACGGTGCCATGCAAGTGAAACAAGTTTTTGATTATGCCTACATTGTTCTTAGCCATGCAGTATCACCACTTGCAAGATCATATCCAAATAGAGATTCTGAGAGGTAATTAGTCCACTTTTTGAATATCCATTTGTCTGTGTAACCAAATAGGAATGTTTGGGTCTAAATCAATAAAAGGAATATTGTTATTTATTGTTTAACTGTGGCTATATTGAAATTTGCCCAGAAATTTTGTCTGCCCAGCGGTATGAGAGTGTAATACCTCAATGTGCTGCACTGAAATGAAGACAGTGTGACAAAACCCAGGATGAGTCCAATGTGAGGTTCTCTTAGTGTGGAAGGGACCCAGAAGATAATTGGTCTTTCCTCAAATACTCTGGTTAAAGTATTTCAAAGGAAGGTCTGCTGGTTTAATGTTTGGTATGATGTATGTCTGTACTATGGTAGAAAGAAATGTGTGTGATCAAATTGCTTGTTTAGACACAAAACTAGACAACAAGGCTAGAAATTTCCCTAGTACTTTAAGACATGGTCCCATAAGCTGTTTTAAAAGGCTTAATATGTAATTAAGCTGTTAAAAGAATCTGTTCAATTTGGCTGTAAAGTCAGAACTGCCTTTCAAAGTAGCATAATTCTAGATGTGCCATTTTAATGCAGTTCTTAATGTTTCTCATGGAAACACTGTACAGCTAGTACTTTCTTAGCTCTCACCTTTGCAAGTTTTCTTTTTTTTTTTGAAAGGGGGAGGAGAAAAGAAAATGAAGGCATGTCAGCCATGTGGTATTTTCATTCGTGTTTCTACTCTAGCATCTGTTATTCTAACCCTCAGTACAAACTGGAGCTAGATCAGAGGACTGCCCTTCACTGAGACTTCCCTTGAATCCCAATGGCTTTGACTTCCCCAGCTAATTGCAGGGAGAGATGGCTGTTACAAGTCACATCAGCCATCTAGATACAATTCCAAATTCTAGTCAAGCTGTTAACTTCAGCATTAATGTCATTGGAAGGTGAAATAGTTCTCCTGTAGTAAGTTTACCACAAAGTGGATGCAGTCTCTCACTTGTGGATTTAAAACTGGCAGTATTTTAATAGTGCCCATGAATCTCTAGGTTTTCTGTGGTATTAAATTCACAAAGGTTGAGGCTGCACTTGTGCCTGTGAAGGAGATAGAGGAAGTGAGTGATATGTAGTGTTACACACTAACATTTGAGACTGCTGTTTTAAGATAAAGGTGTATCCTAAATGTGTACTGGCTGGCAATTCATGTTGCTGAAGGAAGTGTCATTCTTATGTAAGTAGATAGAACACGCAGGGATTCCTGAAGTTCTGCTTGTGTCTTGGGTCCTGGCCTTCATTAACTTCTTTGTGGTTCTCCAAAGGATATATTCATTCTCTTATATGGTACCTGTATTTTACAGACATGAAAAAGTGTATTTTTAAACGCATTTAATGGAAGCCTCAGATGTCATCAATGTGTGTGCTTCACATATACACTTATTGTATTTGGGAAAATGTTTGAATTTTGTTGCAACTTCAGACCTGGAAGAAGTCCCAGTGGCAGTGTTCAAATGTCATACATCCGACCTATCTTTCTTCTGGTTCTGGGCTGTCTGTGCCAGTGATGTCTGAGTCTTAGAACTCGTCATGCCAGTGGCTGCCATTCTGTCAGAGAGAGTGGTGTCACAAGAGGAACAGCATTCAGCAAAGTCCTGTTTGCAAGTTCTCCCAGCACCAGTCTTGTCAATGCCAAAGGTGATGGGTGATGAGCTGTTTGGTAGCAAGTTTGTTGCAGAACCTCAACAGCAGTCCACATTCAGTCTCAGTTTTTAGTTAAAGCTTGGCAATCCAGGTGGATTTCAGATCTTTCTTCCACCTGTTAGGCAGAGTGGTATAGGCTTTGTATAAAGACTTTTCTGGTGACCTGACCTAAAGCCGTAGCCATCCAGATCTTTGTCCTGATCCATTTTTTCCCTTTTCTGGACTTGTTAGTGGTAGGTTAAACTGTAAACAATGAGCAGTGACTAGCTACATGACATTATGCTAGAAGGATCAACAGAGACTAAATGAAGACCGCTTGAAAGGGTAGGAACTTGCAGGAGGCTGAACTCCCCAGGCTGATTTGAATTTATTCAGTTTTATCATAACTGGGGCTAGCTTTCCCCTAAGTGGAACTGTTTGCTCTGGAACTACCTGGTGGCTTGGAATTCATATCAGCTCTTTTCAGGGAAAATTTCTGTGTGCAGAGTCCTATTTTGTAGATAATCTTGGTAGATTTCAGATCTTTCTGGGTGATCATCATTACTGCTCTTTTTCAGGGTCAGTCCAATTCAAAGAAGCAGAAGCCTAAGTTAATTTAAGGCTTTCTAGCCAGCTGCTGCTTCTGATATTCCCAGTGTGAAAAAGAGTAAGATTTTGATCCTTCAGCATAGGCTTTTTCTTGTCTGAGTTCTGTAGTAACAGGTCCCACAGAATAATAAGGGGTAGATTCAAATCACTCTTATCAGCATCTTCATTCAAGCTTCCAAATATAACATCTGGAAGCTAGTGGGTGTTGAAAGCTGTCTTTTGTCTGAAAGGAAACAGTAATCAGCTGAGTCCTGAATGTAATTCCTACAGCTACAGAAGTTACCTTAACCAGTCTATCTCACACATCCTCTTTCAAGAACAGCTCAGGAGAGGTTGACAGACAGTTCAGTAGATTTTGTTAGAGCAAACAGATTCCAATCATCTTGGAAGGAGTGGTTTTCCTAGTAGGAAAATGAAGAGACCAATCCATTTTGAATCTGTAGAATTTGTATGCAAGGTCAAGTTTGGTGTTGTGAATTCAGCCAAGGTGATTGAAAATCATGATTGATTTCTTACTATTTGGCACCATGGGGATGTGAGTCTAGATGTAAAGTTATGGACAGGATAGATAGCTCCTGCTTAAAGGTCAGTGTCATTATGTGCTTTGAACAGCTTTAGTATGGTCCTTGGCCATAGCCTGTCTCTAGAGAAGTGTGTGTCATCTTAAGCTAACTAAAGTCATTAAGGAGTGATATTTTCATAGAATCATTTAGGTTGGAAAAGACCTTTAAGGTCATCAAGTCCAGTTGTTAACCTGGCACTGCCAAGTCCACCACTAAACCATGTTCCGAAGTGCCACATCGACACATCTTTTAAATATCTCCAGGGATGGCAACTGCCCCACTTCCCTGGGCAGCCTGTTGCAATGCTTGACAACCCTTTCGGTGAAGAAATTTTTCCTAATATCCAATCTAAACCTCCCCTGGCCCAACTTGACTCCATTTTCTATCACTTACTTGGGAGAAGAGACCAATCCCCACCTCCCTGCAACCTCCTTTCAGGTGGTTGTAGAGAGTGATAAGGTTTTCCCTGAGTCTTCTTTTCTCTAGGCTAAGCGACCCCAGTTCTGTCGGCTGTTCCTCAGAGGACTTGTTCTCTAGACCCTTCACCAGCTTCCTTGCTTTTCTTTGGACACAAAGTTTCAAGTTAGTGGCCATTTTCCCACTTTTATTCTGTTTCTTGATAAACCACAGGAAACCTTAGCAGATGTTTGGCAACAAGCTCTTGCTCATTGATTCATATTCTTTGAAATATTGGACTATCTGTTACTACCCTGTCCATGGCCTCTATGTTAAGATGCAGTTTCACTTTATACCTTGCCTAACTATCTGTGGCTATCTCCTGTCAGCTGCCCTTTGTCTTCCTTCTTAATCTGTATGTTCCTGACTCTTGCCTTGGATCAGATCTAGCAATCCTGTGGTCAGAAGGTGAGTCAGATGAGCTCTCTGGTCTGACTGCACAAATACATCAACACTTCTGTCATATCAAGAAGCTGATCCAGCTTGTGGCTGTGTGATGGGCAGATCAAAAGCAAGAGAAGCAGCAGGAGTTCATGTTTGGGGGAAAGATGGAGAGCGTGGTATTGTACCATTTGACAGCAATAAGTTATGCTGATCTGGATGTGACGAAGATGCATCCTTAGGCTAATATGTGTCTGTAGTTCAGGATGTTGTCTTACATGTTGGCCTGTTGCATGGTTCAGATACGAATGTGTGCTCAGACTGCATCTCTAAACAGCAGCATAGCCACATTTGGGAGGCAGACGAGGTCATATGAAATGAGGAATGGAAGACTGGTTCTGCTGTGATGTGCCCTTCCAGTATAACTAAGACTTTTGAAACCTTTCTTCAGTTCCTGGAGTTGCAGATTGGTAACAGATTCCTCCTTATTGGTGCCAGACATGGTGCAAGTGAATGAGGGAAAGGGACTGTCATGTGAACAGGGCGGAGTTCAGAGTTTGAGGAAGCCTTGGCAGGGTTTTTGCTACTGCATGTCTGGAGTTGTCATTTACAGGTGATAATCTTCAAAACAACAATAGTCCGGGCCACGTATTAAGTGATTTTTTCCATCTCTGTGGTTGAAAGCTGTTTGGTCTCTTCCTAGTGTACAGTTCAACTGATCTAACTGCTGAGGTCTGTATGATAGGTTTGGGTTGCTCCTCGTTGGCCAAGATAGCCCTGGGAGCTCTGGGAGCTGTCAAAGGGAATGTTAAATTTGCCTGCTAGCTCTGCTGACACAAAAAGCAGAAATGTGCTGTCTGAATCAGTCCTTCCTTTGCTTCACATCTTGAGTGATGGGTGGCTGTCACTAATGCTGTCTCTTAAGAGGTATCGGCAATATCAGCTTTTCCTGCACAGAGTATTTGTCTGGGTAAAGGTTTTAGAGTTTCTCTTTTTTTTTTTTTATCCAGGCAGATCTTTCTCAGGTGCTCCTGAGTCTGCATTTAGATTATATTGCCCTTTTAATATCGCAGGGGTTATTCATAAGGTCTGTTGAGGCCTACTGAACAGTTATTTTGACTGTTCTTTCACAGACTTGATGTTCTTTTCCTGCTCTGGTACTCACTTGTTCATGTGGAGCTTGGCTGGAGATTTAGACATTTCATTTTGTTGAATCTTATGTCAGCAATCTGAGCATTTTAAGAGTGATCTTAAGATTTATTTGCACCATAGTTGTGCTGTAATGACAGCTAGAAAGTGTCCCTGTGAACTGAGGGCTTGCAGTGTGTAAAAAGGAGCATCTAAGCTCTTATCATAAAATAAACTAGATACGTAAATAGCTTATTCCTGGTTTTACTATATGATAATATTAAGAGAAAAACCTTAAAGGGACATCTTTCATAGGAGAGCTGTCTAATTTTATCAACCAGTTAACTGTTTTTTCTATGTTTTCCAAACAAGCATCTTTGAAGAATTGTGGGAGAATCTCATATCAGTAGAAATTCTGGCCTCAGCCAAAAAAATAAGCCCAAAAGCGTGGAATTTCCTCATGGTAAAGGCGGGGCAGAGTAATAGGTTTTGTTTTGTTCCTGAGCATTTTCAGTGTTGAAAACAGATATGAGCACAATTTTAAAATGTTTATGTTAGAAAATTGTTCTCTGACCCTATGGATGTGCTTAAGTCCCATACATATGAAATGGTGTTCATTGAAAACAGTGTTTAGTTTGATCATACCTGCTTCCTCTTTCTTTGCAGCTGTATTGATTGTACGGCAGTATAGCCTTAATCACCTTTCAGTTTCTGATGTCTCATAGTGAATGTTTTCAATTTTTGGTGTACAAACAATGTAGCATGGTCTGCCTTTTGACTCCTGACCTGATAACTTAATGAATTTATTTTTTTCTACCTTTCTACCAAACATGAGAATTTGGGGCTTTGATCACTATTCTCTGTGAAAGGAGCTAGTGACAGAAGAGATTCCCAGGTTCCGTATGCACAACTCTGCCATAATTGTTGGTGTAGCAGTAGTTTCACCCTTTACATCTATTTGATAACAGGCATTTTTGGTACATCAGTCACCCAGGCTGATAAAAGTGCCATCTTATGTAATTCATTTTCCTTCTGGATCTGAAGGCATGACTATTGATTTGCTTCTAGGGAAAGTACTGCAGGAAGCTTCAGACTTGGCATACAAGTATCTAAAGGGTGGGTTGAAGGAGGATGGAGCCAGACTGTTTTCAGTGGTTCCCAGTGACAGGATGAGGGGCAATGGGCACAAGTTGGAACATAGGAAGTTCCATTCCAATACACAGAAAGACTTCTTTATGGTTCGGATGACAGAGCACTGGCACAGGCTGCCCAGGGAGGTTGTGGAGTCTCCTCTTGAGATTTTCAAAACCTGCCTGGATGCAGTCCTGAGTAATGTGCTCTGGGCAATCCTGCTTTAGCAGGGGAGTTGGACTAGATGATCTCTAGAGGTCCCTTCCAACTCTGAAGATTCTGTGTGACTTGACAACCTCTTCCATAAGAGCTTGAGCTATTCAGGCCATGTTCATTTTCTGGTTCTAAGACTGTAGCTGGTGGTAGCTGTGAAATTCATACATCATCCTGGAATAAAAGCTCAGATCTTTCTGAAGGCATTCTCAGATGAAACTTTTTAGCTGTGAGATTTCCTTCTCTGTCCCTGTGCTGAAGAGATCCAGTATGGGTATGTTGGAGTCCCATACTGGCATTGTTGTCTTGGGAACTGCAATGTCAGGGCCACAGCTGATTCTCTGCAGTATTGGTCATCCCTGTCTTCATTCTGTCTCTTATGGCTTAACTTCCTTTTTGAGATTGAGAAACCAGAACTACATTGAGTATTTAAAATGCTGTTATGTCATGGGAGTGTACATTGACAAAATACTATCCTCTGTTTTATTTGTTCCTTTCTTAATGTGCTCTACTTAGCTATTGAACCGTGGTTTCCAAAGAATTACCTATTATAACCCAGATCTTCAGTTGCTGAGTGGTGACAATTGTGCCTTTAATTCTGCATGTAAAATTCAAGATTTTATTTTCCAACATGCATCATTTTATCTATCTTACATAAATAGAGTGGTGGATGACATTCATTCTTTCCGTGATGCTCTTCTACAGCTATTGGATTTGTAACTTAAATGATATTTGGTTCAACGTTTGCTTAAATTGCTGAACTGCTTTTTTCAGTACCAACACACTGATATGTCTTTGAAGTTGGAAGACTAAACATGGAACATGTGGTATTTGGTCTTGCATGATACAGTAATCCCTAAGCCAGTAGGAGAATTATTGCTCCTTTTTAAAGTGTTACTAAAAAAAATGACCTAATAAAGGTATTCTAAATACATTTAGGCTATGTATGTCCTCCCTTCCCGTTATACACCTAAACCAAAAGAAAATTCCAGTACAGGTATGATGTACCTTAAGCTTTATTGTAACCATCGAAGATTTTCAAAACTAAAATAACATTGCCTTCTCCAAGATGGTAACTTTTCACAGCCCATTTTTGTACAATAGTCAGTCCTTCATTTACCTTGAGCGTGGAGTTTATAGTTAGTGTTTCAGCCACTAGTCCCTGATGAAAGGAAAGCTTGAAAGTTTAGCTCTCGAACAAGGACACAACTCCTGCTCAAGAAGTACAATTCAAATAGCTGAATGTTGGGAAGGTATGTTGGAAAAATATTACTTTGTATTTGTTGATAACTGGTCACTGTTCAGCAGGACCGGGTAGACTTTTTCTCTGAACCAGTTACTATTATGAATTTTCTTAAATTCTAACTTTGGTTTTGGAGCCAGTCTCTTTCTTGTTTCTACTACCTCATGATCCATGGTACTTCCTTTATCGTTGTGGTAATCTTAGACCTTTTAAGTTGTATTGTAGATCTGTAAGCAAGGACTAGTGAAGGTCTCTGTCTTCAGCCTGAAGGTCAGCTAGGGCAGCTGGGGATATTAATGTCTTCAGTGCATCCCATAACTGTTCTAATCCAGATTCTGGGGAAAAAATATCTTCTGCATGGAGAAATGCAAGAAACTGTAGATTGCTTTTATCAAGTACACTGGTATCTGCATGTACGTTCTTGAAAATCAAGATACACTCCATTAAGAAATATAGAATAAAAATCTTACTTATGTGTCAGTGTTTGCATGTTAGTATGGTAGAAGATAAATAATATACTAGTTTAAAAATTATTATGCTGCAGTGGATTAAATGGTGCCTTAAGGAAATGAAAATTCAAAAGGATTCTTTGGGTAGGAATATCTTAAACTGACTTCTAACATAATTTGATTGCTTGTTGAAATACTTGCAAATATGTAATCAACAGTCTTTGTTTAATGCTTAATTGAAAACTTTTTTTAGCACATTAGGTAGAATCATCAAAGTGACCCAAGAAGTGATTGACTACAGGGCCTGGATTAAAAAGAAGTGGGGGAGCAAAATTAATCTATCACCTGAACTTGGTAGGTATAGCAAGAATCTTTGAAACCAACTTAAATTTTTTTTTTCTTGAGTTTGATATAATTCAAAATACTTACGCCTTGAAATAAAACACTTTCAGGTATGTAGGAAAAAATAAAAGGAATTTGTAACTTCCTAAACTAAGAGTAGTTTTCTCTGAGCCTATTTTTCAGTTAGCTTGTTAAACTGCAGCTCTTCCTAGACTTCAAGGCCCTCATGTTTGTATTCTGTGCTCTTAAATGATACTTATGTTTTCTGTTAACAGACAATAGGTTGAAAATAAGAGACCAGATAGCTCCGTGCAATGGAGAACAGCAACAGAACAGAGACTCTGAACCATCTTACAACCAACGCTTGGCTTTGTCATTGGCTAGTACACAACAGTTATCCTCTGGCTCATCTGCCTCTTCTGTATCATCACTCTCCGGCAGTGACATTGTAAGCTTTTTCTTTTAATGGGATAAACTAATAAGAAACAGAGTTTATGATACTCTTCAAAGTCTCAACTGATACAACAGCCATTAATGTGATACTATCCCTAAGCTACTATGGTAAATTAATAGCTTCCCCTGCTTGGAAAAATTACTGAAATCAAATATTTTTTCATTAAATTAGGTGGGTCTTAATTCCATCGTAAATCTTCAGTACTCTTTGTGATAATGGATAGATGTAATAAAATATAAACCCCCAAGTTAACAGTAGCTAATTAAGTAGAAGACTAGAAATATATCTTCATAAATCTTCCCATCAATCTCCCATTGTCAAATTCTGGTCCTTTTTCCCCGTACCCCAAATTGAACATGAAGACCATGCTGTCCTGTGAAGGTGAATAATATTCTTCACTATTTTCAGCTAAGCAGACAGTTCAAGGTAATGGTGCCCTCGTATGCAAAGTCTTGCTGTCAGCTTCCTTGTTTGAAAGTGCAATTTGAAAGTAATTGCTGGACTTTATTATAACTTCCTGGAAGTTAAAGGCTATAGTCTCTTTACGTGTGTTTCCAGACTCTTAAGATTCTGTAAGGTGTTTTTGTTTCAATAGGGAGTTAAATTAGCATGGAATTGGGTAGTGCAGATTATAAAGCACAAAATTGCATTGCATGGCATGAGGTGCTTATTATAAATCTGCTGAAGCATTCTGTGCTAGGTAGAGGTACTGAGTGGAACAAGATGTAATATCCAGTTAACTACAATAGTGAATAACTGGATGATGCTGAGAGAGGTCAAAGTACCTGTTTTTTGACTGCTTTCAAAAACTAGTCAAATATGGAATTAAAAGTTGGGAATTGTATTCAATAAAAATTTAATAACTTTTGAGGGACAAATGCATTCTTTACATGTTCTGGTTACTTTCTGTACTTTACTGAATTTTCTTTGTTGAATTGTCTTCACCTCCAGTAAATATGGTAAATGCTTTAGTTGCACCATCTGGCTAACGGAAAAAGAACAGCATGATGCTTCCCAGTGATACTACTAGCCATGCTCCTGGTTTGAGTATGCCAGTGAGAAAGATATTACTGTAATAAGTTTTATGAGAAAATGCAACTATTTGCTTAATATTATGCACTCTCAATGTAATGGGGTGGTGAGTGGTTATGACCTCCCCTTAGTCCCTTCTTGCCTGACATTGAAGATGAAACTTCATTGCCTGATGCCAGAGAAATTAATGAAAAATGAAAAGTGAAAAGGAAGCTCTCAACAAGAATGACCTGCAATCAATTTGGGCATCCACACAGTAAATGGAAATGCTGCCCTTTTTAACAAAGTGCCTTATGCCCACGTGCTTGTGACAGACCCTAGCTGAAGCCCTGGTCATTTATTGGTATTATGTACTTAGTAGACTGTCAGTGTGTTACCTTAATTTGGAATGAAATGGCAGGTTTCTAACAAATAACTGATGAGTTTATCCTACTCACGCTTGGATACGTGAGGATGAGCAAGTCCTGAGCTGTACCTGACTCAGGAGGAGAAGCCTATTCTGCTGGAGTCGAAGAGGCCATCCGTGGCGTGATCTGGCATAATACTATGCCCAGGTTCCAGCAAAGGAACGTGTAGCATGTGTGACAACTGTTATTTGTGCCAAAACTTCTGGTGCGCTGCAAATAGGTATGATGGAGTGAACTTGGGTACCAGCTTCAGAACAAGGGGTTATGAACACAGTGCATTTCATCACTGTGGAGTTATATGTAGTGGTAGCTCTGATCTTGTGGAAGGATTGTTCTTCAGGAAGGATTGTTCTTCAGGAATGATTCTGTATTCATTTAAAGTTAAACTTTCTGAATTTCTCTGATACTGCAGACTGAAAGCAAGATACAGATTATAAAGAAAATGCAGGAGATGGGGAGATCCTAGATTGACAGTTTGCTGATCTCTTCCCAATAATTGTAGTTTTATTTTAATAGCAAAATATTTATCCCTGTTATGCCATTGTTGACCTTAAGCACAAGGTCTGTGTTAAGACAGTGTTTCTGGAGATGTATTTTGCATGACTGCAGAATATCTTTTGCTGTGTATCAACTACAAGTTCCTAGCTGTCAAATTAAAAGGACTTGGTAGTGTATTTGCTTTCCAGTTTACCAGTAATAGTGATCAGCTGCACCTTGACTTTTCTGAGATCTGCCTGCCAATATGATAGAAGTCAACTTACATATGTTGAGGAAGAAAAATAGTCTTGGCAAATTGTGACCTTACTTGGTCATACTGCCCCTCTCAACTCCAGCTTCTACTGAAGGTTAAATATTCCATCTGTCCACTCTAGCACAGAGGTAGTTATATTCTGACATCACATCACTGTACACCAGCCATAAATCTGGAGGCCTTGTGTGTGTTTGTCAATATGTCCTAGAAGCAATATTGGTAGTATAAAGAATGCAAGCATTGTCAAAGCAGTGCAGTATTGGTTATAGGGATCCTAGAATTTTTGTTAAACCCTATAGTTTAATAGTTGGTTGTAACAGTAGTTAGTTTAGTTGGTTGTAATACAGCATGCTGTATGGTTTTTAGAGATTTGCTTCCTTGAAGTTCTGGCAGCATTGCAAATTTTTGCCTTATTCTGTAAATACGGCTCAGCAGCTGAATAGACAAAGCCCCTGGTGTCTTGGACTTATGGGCACTTCAGAGATAGCAGAGGTTATAGATTGTTCCAGAAGCAGAATAACATGTGTCAGAATAGAACAATAAAAAGGCGCAGGTTTTTCTGGAGACCGGAATGGCATAAACCAGAGCTAACATTTAGAATTCAGCCTCTCAACTTTTGTACATACTCAGAAAAAAATGGAAGTCTGGGATATAAGAGCTTAAAGTTACTACCCTGAGTTCTTTGCATTCCT